CTCACTAACATTTCTATATGCTAAATAATATACAGAAATATATATACCAGTATACTATATTTACTAAACAGCTGGAGTGGGATGAAAGAAGGAAGGCAAGTGCAGGACACTGTACAGGATAGGAAAAGTAATCATGTTTTACAAGAATACTGAATAATCAATAGTGATGTAATCATAACTATTAAGAGGAAGGAGCACCACTGAGTAGGTGATGACAACAAAGTTAAATCTTCATTTTCTATCCAGAAAGTTAGTAAGGCCAAAACCAAAAGCAAGAAGTATTTTATTTAACACATACTTATGTAGGGCATATTAGTTAAGCACAGTTTTAAGGGCTTTCCAAATTCCTTTAATTCTTACAACAAACCTATGAAGTAGGTAGTACTGATCCCGTTTTTAAATAAGCAAACTGAGACACAGAGAGTTTAAGTAGCCCAATGTTACATAAAACTAGTAATTGACAAACCTAAGCAGTCTAATTGCAGAGTCCATGCTCCTACCCAATGAAAGCTATTTAGAGACTACAAGGTAAATATCACAACAATCATTTTTAAAAGGTGAAAGTGATTGCTTCCAGAAAAGGGAAAATGGAAAGGAAGGGGATGGGAAACTTCTGTTTTGATAACCATGTAAATTATTTGATTCTGTGCAGATACACCCTAATAAAATTAAAACTTATAATTTAGCATTTCACAGTTAATGTATTTTATCTCATGCTACCTTCCTTGGAAGTAGGCAAAATGAATAACTCCTATTTTATAGCTAACTCTCATTTCTCTTTAATAAATATTTGAGGGCTACTATGTAACAGGGACTATATTTAGAAGATCAATACCAATTCACCTCAAGGAATGATGAGGTAGAAGAGGTAAAAAAAGTAAATCTTTTTATTCATTTCTTTTCAATTTGTTGCATAAATTACATGATCCTGCATCTCTAACAGTTGTGCTTAAGATGAGACAATATAAATTTTAAATCATGACAGAAAAGGAAAACAAAGGTCTGCTCATTAATTCGTTCAAAAAATATTTCGTTCTTGCCCTTGAGGAACTCAGTCTTGTAGGAAAGATGAGTAAACAAACTGAATGTGCGCAATGCCTTAAACAGAGGAATACTGCAAAGTGCTAAGGAAACAACATTCCCTAGGTGAAGAGAATGCTTCAGAGGGAAAATCAGAGCTGTCTTTAAGGATGAATACAAGTTTGAATAATTTCACATAAGAGGCTGCACTAGTAATCAGAAAACACAAAAGATTATATATTAGTGTCAAATACCTCAATCTTCCCATGTTGAAAAGTTCAAATTTTAAAAAAAATAAATAAATGGAAAAGGTAAATTCACACTAAAGACTAAAATATGACATTAAGACCTTTCTAATGAGAATGAATGTTTAAAAACAAGATATATAATCTTACTGTCTGATCCATGTTTCCAATCTTTAGTTTTAAATATGTTTTTGTTGATTTCAGAGAAAGGAAGGCTGAGGTAGAAAGAGATAGAAACATCAATGAGAGAGTCACTGAGCGGCTGCCTCCTGCACTGGGGATCAATCCCGCAACTGGGGCATGTGCCCTGACCAGGACTCGTGACCTCCTGGTTCATGCTCAGGTCAATACTCAACCACTGAGCCACATCAGCCAGGCCACGTTTCTAATCTTTATAGTCTCTCCCAGCGGCCAATAAAAGCATTTTCTACATGTCTAATAAACATTTTAAAATTGAAGTATTAAGAGTATTATTTCAAAAGACTACTAAAGAATAACTATCCTTGATTTGTTCTACCACCCAAAAGTTTGTTAACATGTTTTCTAAGTCATAATATTTAAATTATAATGTACACCTTTCTCCCATGAAAGACTAACAGGTGACCAAGCCCAGAATATGCAAATGACACAGGAACTATTGAGAAGGTAAAAATAATTTTTTAAACCATTATCACTTTTTTCCTCTTGTAGAAATTCTGAAATTCCCTTCCAAGGGCAAATTTAACTAAAACAACATTTCATTTTCCCAACTAGAGTGAAAAAAGAAATAATCTGTAGTAAAACACAATAGAGAAAATAATATACATATTTATTCTTTCTGACCTTTAGAGGTATTTTAGGGATGAAACATTTTCAAGGATAACTCTGAAACAAAAATTTTCCAGATCTGATGCCTTGACTTTGACGTTAACAAAGGCTCAAATATGTAGTAAATTCAAAACAGGTAACAGTCAACTCAAGTAACTTTATAGCAGTATTTAATCAGTATCTCTTTTTGTCCCTTTAATTCCAAACCTTCCTACATAATTTGTCCCTAATTAATCTTCATCTCAGTTACTATATGGAAAAATTTATTTTATACTAATATCTTAAACTGGGACTCTATCCCTATAGTTAAAAACGTAGTTGAAGGTAGCAACATCTGACTTTAATTGTCTGGAACAGCAAGTTGTGGAAAGCTATCTATCATGCCCAACCACCAGGTGGGAAAAAAAGAGAAAGTCATGCCAAGATACCACAAGTGGTAATTAACAAAAATCATGGCAGGTATGAATTCAAAATGTGTGGTTTTCATATATTTCATCGGTCTTCCATTTCTCTAAATTTACCACCCATATAATACACCTGTTTTTATAGGGACTTCACTCAGATTACACCCTTTAGATTTAAAAAACATTAATACTTGGGGTAAATAATTCTTTAAAATTATAGGTGAATATTAGCAATTACAGATGAGTATTAGCATATGATAAAAATAAAAGCTTAACAATTAATTACATTAGGCTATTAAGGAAACTACCTCCTACAAAAGGTCTACCTTTTAAAGTACAGTTTTGTACATGGTACAGAATACATCTGGTTAGGTAACAAGATTTTAATTATATGGCTATTAGAAAAATAATAAAAATCTTGAAAAACAAGACTTTGAGTTATTTCAATAAATCATGCCTTTACCTTCTTTTAAGTAACTAAAATACCATGAAAACCTTACTTAAACACTTGTTTTTTCTAAAATTGCAATTTTTCTGAAATATGCTTAATTTTTCCAAAGTGAAAACCACAAATATACATTTAGAATATAAATGTTCCAATCGTTTTAATGCAAGTTCAATCACAAAAATCTCCAATACTAAAATAATTAAATATCTTTCAAGTTTATAGTTCCACAGTGAAAATGCATAGCCTTTGTCATAACTCCTTTGATATTATTTTGATCAAGATTAGTCAGACTGGCAAATTTGTGGAAACATTCCCATAAAATCAACTTAGTTTAAAGCAATGTAGAATCATGAGAGACTTCACTACTTTTCTAGTCAATCGGCTTCAAAGACACAATTTGATTCAATAAGTGTGATTAGCTCATTATTTCCAATTCAATTAAGAAAACACTAGTTTAATAATGTATTTTAGGCTTTATGGGTTTTTTTGACAAGGGAAGAAGGGAACAAGTGGAATAGATTAGCAAAATAAAGTCTTATTTTCATGTTTTTGTAAATTCAACCCTCCAAGACTTACTTTCTTTACTCTTAAAATGGCTTCCACCTTGATCTACTATGCAAAAGCAAAAATGTACAGCATACTACCATCAAAAATAAATCTGGTCATTTTGACAGTGTATGCCCTCCTCCCTCACAAAAAAACATTTCAAAATTCCCATTCCTCCTTTACTGTTCAGATAAAATGAACATTAAGTAAGTACACAAAAGTTGGTTAATTACAGTATGAAAGCAATCTATATAACCCAAATCAGGTCACCTTTCCTATAACATCTGACTAGGAAAAGCAGGTAACAGTATCTTTCACAGACTAAGGTCAAACACAGAAGAACTGAAAAGGATTTTCCAATCTAGTAAAGGAGAAACAAATGTGGGAACCACACCCCTCCCAAGAGAAGATCATAAGGATTTCAGTAATTCAAAAGAACAGATTAACTATTATATGGGTTAGCAAAAGTTAAGTTTCTGTTCATAATTAATCTTTTAAAGAAGCATTTTATAAATAACAAAAACCACTCAGTGCTCCCAACCCTATTCTTAATGCTCAATAACTATTCTGTCAAATGTTTACATATTACTTATCCTATCCACTCTGAAACAATTCAGTAACACCCTTGCTCTAGAAAACTCACATACAAAGGTGAAAAAAATATATATTACTTCAGACTAATTTTGTGCATATACATACATAGCTACTAAACCACCTCTGAATCTGTTGAATGTCTGCAGAAATATGTATGATCTTACCTCTCATCCTCTCCATCCACCAGGGGTGTCGTCAGCGGTAGCACCTTCAACGGGAAAAGAGAAGCAGAGGCTGCTAGGTTGCTGCTACTCCCATCTGAAACTGCTGACATTCCCCCACTGTCACCACTGACAGTCTGAGGTAAGCCAACTAAGGAGGGTTCCGCTGGGCGCCTGGCATCTTCAATTTGGCTTCCAATTGCCTGAGCTAATGATTGTGCAGAGAACTGAGAACTTAGTGATATCTGTTGTGCCAAAGGCAAATTTATATTAGTTGCTATCGAGGGAGGTTGACTAACACTTTGAACCACACTACCATTTTGAGTGGCAGGGGTTTGTGCTATATTCTGTGGTGGAACCAAGTTTGTAGGGGCAGAAGGCATTCCAGAAGGACCAGCTGAACTAACCTGATTTGTAACAGAAATACTACTAGCAGAGGGTACAGGACTAACTGCAGGCAACTGCTGTGAAACAACTCCTTGAGCTACTGACTCTAATCCTTGTGGCTGGGGAGGCACAGTTAACAAGGTACTTTGGGGTGCAATGACCAATTGTTGAGGAAGGCTTGAAGCACTAGTTTGAACTCCCTGATGAATAATTGCAGTTTGAGCAGGTGGAACTACTTGTGAAGATGGAGGAGCACCTTGCTGAACAACTGAAGGTGTGACTTGGGAAGAGGGCTGCTGCACTGCAGTGGGTACATTTGCTTGTTGAACAATATTTGCAATTTGACTGCCAGTAGGTACAGCAGATACTGCTGTTTGAGCCTGGCCAACAGGCTGGCCACATGCCCCTGCAGGTTGTGCTTGGACTGCTGGGGGCTGCACTGGCAGCTGGATACTCTGTGGCTGAGCCATGGGAATTAACGTTGTTCCTCCTCCCACTCCTGCAGAACTGGGCTGGCCAGAGGACACTGCTGTTTGAAGAATCGGCTGCTGCTGTACATACTCTGAAGTAGGAATCTGAGTCACTGGTTTACCATGACCTGGGGCCATCTGTGTGGAAACAGTCGATTGTTGTCCGTATTGTAACTGCTGAGGTGGTGCCCCTGGAAGGGGAGCTTGCACAGGAGGAGCTGTCTGAGAATATGGCAGTTGGGGTTGAGCCAAACTAGAAATGGAAGGCTGCTGACCTAAAGCTGAAGGTACACCAACCACATTAACAGGTGATGGCTGGATACCAGTTGCAGCATTGATAGTGGCTTGTAGAGGTACTGGTTGAACACCTTGCTTTTGCTGATAGCTCAGTTCTTGAGACTGCAATTGTACTTGTGAGATCTGTGAATGAGAAACACTCTGTGATATACTAACTGCCGGAATACTCTGTGGACCAGTGCTACTGAAATCCATCTGCTGAAGGGCCACACCTTGAAGAGTTGGTTGTTGCTGCTGCTGTTGCTGCACCACCACAGTAGGGGCTCCCATCTCTCCACTTCCCACACTTTCTGTGTAGTGACTCAGTGTGCTGACACTACTGCTCACAGAACTCCCACTAGTGCTCTCCCTCTCAGAAGTCACTTCTATTGGGTTTTGTTTTACCGTTTCCACCACTTTATTTACCACACCTTCTGTAGTAGGTACAGCATTTTCTTTTTCATAGAATTCAGTGCAAGTCCATCTACCTTTTTTAAAGGGTTCAGAACTAGCATCTAACTTCACAACTCTGAACCTTGAAGTGTTAACTGTTGGTTGTTGCTGCTGACTTGAAACTGATCCCACAGTCATCCCTGCAGCTGCATTCACCACACTGTTAACAGTTGAAGAAATAGTACCATTGCCCATGCCACTCGAGATATTCACATTAACACCGCTGTTAACTCCAGGCCCAGCACTCACGCTAGCAGCACTTGGTATATTGCTTGTATTTATATTAGCATTACCAAGCATGCTGCTTGTCACATTAGGATTAAAACTACCCACAGCAGTAATGTTAACATTATTCACTGTATTAGTGCCAGTAACAGAATTTATACCTATACTGCCAGTAGTAGTGGGAGCACGGATATTAGTCATTACAGATGCAGGTGAGGAACCCGATGATACAGCAGAAGTTAGTGCAGCTGGTATAACACTGTCAGAGCTTCCAGTTGTAGAGAGTTTTCTGGATACCGGGCTTGAGGGTGGCCCTCCAGGAATGGATGTACTGGCCACACCAGCATGGGATGGATGGTGGTGCCCATGGTGGAGGTGGTGCCCATGATGAACGTGATGGTGGTGATGGAGGTGGTGTGGATGAGCATTCCCATTGATCACAACATTTTGTTGTGGAAGGTGAGGCAAATGAGGCTGAGGAAGGTGGGGCTGGTTGGGAGAGACTGCCCCAGGTGTCTCAGCTTCCTGGAAGTTATTTAGCGTCTCTTCTGAGGAGCTGCGTTCAGGTTCCCCTAAGTCAGTAGCCCTGGAAAGTGACACATCAAGTATCTCGGAAGACGACAGATCTTCCGTGTGAGATTCATCCAGATCATCATAGCTCTCAGTGTCCTCTGCTATACTGTTGTTAGAGCTGATGCTGGCGGAGATCTGAGCTGGGGTAACGCTCGTTATCTGGAATCCACTTTTCTTTTTCATTTGAGTTCCGCCTGGTGCAAGAGGCTGTGTCTGCAGCTGAGCCTGCGAAAGGAGATTCAGGCTTTGTGGAGGTGGAGGCTGTGGCCCCGATGCACAGGATGCTGCAGGAGGTGGCGGCTGGAGCAGCGACGGAGGCGGAAAATCCTCGGAAGATGTGGCATTACTACCAGCGCCGGTACCTGCTGCATTGAGGGCAGAGGCGCTGCCACTGCCGCTGCCCCTTCTAGGGAATATTGCCGGGTGCGCCATCTTCCTAGCACTAATGTCTGCAGCGGCCGCGGCCGCGGCGGACTCAGGCGGCTGGTGCATTGTGTTGGTACGGGGGGCGGAGGAGGCGAGCGCAATTTCCTTCTGCACGATAATCTTTGTATTCAAGACGCTGGGGAGGAAAACGGGACCTGACGCTCCGCCCGGCGTGATCCCTCCTTCTCCTCCTCCTCCTCCTCCTCCTCCTCAGCCGAAGGCGCCGGCCGCTCCTGCCTTCGAGGGCGAGCTTCGGGAAGGGAGGATGAACGAGGATGAACGAGGGTGAACAGGGCGGCCGGGGACCCGAAGAGGGACCCCTTAAGTCCTTCACCACTCACTTTCCCCTCTAGTCTCACACCCCCCTTTATATTCTGCTTCACGTGGGGTGCGGGGCAGGAGGGAGGGGAGACAGGGGAGGGGGAAGGCCAGGGGAG